ATAGGGTGCCTGGCATATAGACAGTACTCATTAAATATAGGCAAAAAATATTGACTTCCTGTGGCTATCCAGCTAGTAAATACCAGAACTAGAACTGGTCCCCCAAGTTTTTGTGGCCCTAATTGTATGTTCCCTGCATTATTTGAAGCTATGTCTTATGATGCTTGTTTAACACCATCTGTGAAGATATGGTGCTCCTCTAGTCTGCTGTTTAAATAAGCGCTCAGTTATCTTTCTAGCTCCAATTTCTCTACATTTCCCGCTTCCTGCTTCTGCCAGCCCTGGTTGCCCCCACCAGTCCTCAGCAATCTTCGTATACTGTGAAGTTCCAGCGGAGGAAGGGAGCAGGAAAAATTATCAGTAAACCTGTATTGTATAGTCAACTGTTTAGGTTACAAGTTCTGATATAGTAAACTTTTACTAATTTAAATTTCAAAGGGCCAAAAAATATTGAATTAAAGATATTCAAATTATCTGTTATTCTTCAGCCTACAGGGTGTCAACTCTATCAGCTTAAATTTTAGTAGTTCCTTAGGGGGATTCACTGGGACCAAGAAAAAGCATTGTTTGGGGTATCTAATTCTTCAACAAAGTTGTGATGGAAGAGAACAAATTTCTTTGTCCCTCCTCCATTTCTTTCTTAGTCACTGGTCCCACTTTTCAAAACTCCTCCAGCCCCATGACCTTTATGTAGTCCACTCTCTTTGGACCGTAAGCATCTTGAGGCAATGAAGCACAACTTACTTGCCTTTTAATGTCTAGAACCTAGCTCAATATCTGGAGTATAATAGGCAGCCACATGTTGAACTGACTGACTTGAGCAATGCTGCACATACCAAAGGAATCCCTTCCTCCTCCCCCTTCAAATCTTTGTCTCCTCAGTTGACTGTAGCTAGTTGTCATCCTGCTACCCTAATGCACCGGAAAGCATGGTAACAGCTGAATGTGAAATAAATGTGCATTTTATATTACGAAGTACATTTAAAGAGGTTTATTTTAATGGTGTAAAGCCAGGCAGTATTTTAAGAAGATCAGGAAGACATTTTTGGGGCAGCTGGACTTTCCCAACACCTTCACATCACACCACACAAACTGAAGCTTATCTCTCCTATAAATAAAGGCTACTTGACTTTCATTGTTACACATTTTACTTTAGATTTCTTAGGTTAATTGTCGACAGCCTGTATTCTACATATGGGTATATTAATTATCCTGCCTAACTCATTTCTTAAAAGGCACCATTTGTCTTAATCTTAAAAAGTAAGTAATTGTCCCACTTCTCTCTTACTTCAAGGCAGACTAATGACCCAATACCTTGATCACTCACTGCCTCTTGAATTCCTGAAATCTACTTTCTACTTCCTCTAATTCATTTAGATGCTTCCTCTAGGAAGTTGGAAGGAATCCAAAGGATTAATTCTAGATCAACTTCTCATTTTATGAAAGAGGAAACTGAGGAACAGAAATGCTAGTGGCAGAATCTCCGGTTCCCACAGCACTCTTTCCATGCACTATCCTCTTATCATGTGTCCTTAAAACACAGTTAAAAGTGAACTTTCCGTTGTCAGCTCCCCTCCTGACTTCCCTGTTTATGCCAATCACCACCATCCATTGGGCTTTTTAGGATTAAAATGGGTGATCTTTGATGACTTCTCCTCTTTAGGCTTCTACTTCCACTTAGGGATGTCTCTCTTGCTCGTCTTTTTTGTCTGAATTGCCCCATGGTTCAGGGTATTTTCTCTTTACAACTGTTATTACAATAGGTTGCTAATGTCTCCAAATTCTTCCTCTTATAGAGTGAACCTAGCAGAAGAACCAACTTAATATTAAGTCAAAAATTTTATAGTTGTAGTAAAATGGTGCCATTTTGCTGTATAAAATCAAATTCAACTTGCATTCAGACTACCAATAAAATATGAGTTTATATTATCAAGCCTTTCTGGTTCTCAAATATATGGTAATAATTAGCTATGTGATCTTGGGCACATTTAAATTCTATGAACTGCAATGTCCTCAGTCTGTTAACTGATGATATTGTTAGTATATGTACCTAACTCAAAAGGTTGTTTGAAAATTAAATGGGATAACAAATGTAAAGTACTTAATAGTAACAGTTGCAGTAACTATTTGTTGAGGTCTTACTATTGACCAGACATTAGTCTAAGCTGTTTAAATGAATTATGTCACATCAACCCTATAACATGGATACCATTATTGTTTCTAGATGAGAAAACTGAGGCCCAGAGAAGTTTAAAAACTTGCTTAAGGTCAACTAGCTAAGAAGTGGCTAAACCAGAATTCAAAACTGGGCAGTCATACCTGGACAAACCTGTCCACCAGTCTATGACGTGGAAATAGCTTAGTATATAGTAGTTAATTTGTTATTTATTATCATTATTACCACTTTAAAGAGAGGAGTAAACCATTTTTCTGCTTTCCTTCAAGATATGTATCTGAAGTTGAGCCTTAGCATCATTTTTGGAAGAGATGGATAATTCTTGATAATTAAATGTGCTGGGTACCACTTGTTTCTGCTTCCCAAAGAAAGGCAGGAAGGATGGTTAGGGGTTCTTGCACTGCCTGGACCTTGTAATCATCCTGGTCCTCCCCATCTCCACTTTGCCTTTCATAATATCCTTAATATTATAAAATGGGAATGACACAGGCAATCTCTGACTCAGGCATAGTTCATAGTGACAGGCCAAAGATTTATTCTCTGATTGCCCCTTATAGTTCCTTTAGGGCTTTCTCGTGGATAGAACCAGAAAATTCTCTGTGTGTTGCTCTGCTTGCTCTACCTCAGACATTTCTGCCTCAGAAGACAATTTAAGAAAGGGAATCTCCCAAGTGGCTTCCCAGCAAATAATTCTTTTGGTTTCTACTATAGTTATTTTATTTCTTGCCCTTAGGGTATCTTTTGCACCACAATCATCAAATGGTCTTATCTAACCATCTTCTGCCTGCTGATGATGCTCAAAATAGAATAAAATGCCTTATTACTGGTTTTAAAGTTCCTTTCCATGTGCCCATGAATTATTATATTTCTGCCTTGTATGTGGCACACCATACCCTCCCTGTTCCTTTCCTCTCCTCAATGGTATGTTTTTCCCTGAGCATCTAGCTGTTTATATTTGAACATCTAGTCTTTTGGATTCATAGGAACAATTGACCTTGCCCTTCTAATAATGAAATTTTCATAGATCCTAGAATCATAAAATGCCAACTCTGGAAGGACTTTTATAGATAACCGAGGCCAACAGATTCCTCTTCTAGTGAGGAACCAAGACCCAGAGAAGCCAAGGGTCAGGTGCAAGCTATAAAGCCTATGATGGAGGAAGTCAGAACCAGACCCAAGACATCTGCTCCATTTGTTTCTTATGAGTTGGAGTAGGAGACCTGGAAATAATGAGGAATTCACAAGTGTCTTTCCCCCAAATGTTTTAAGTTTTTGTATCAGTGGTTTTCTTAATACATTTTCAGGAGACCTAGAGGAATAGAATTCCATGATTTAAAAAATTGAGGCATAGAGACAAGAATTATAGAGCTGGGACTGTGTCCTTAAGGATCATCTTTCTTTCCCAGTGGTACTTTGTAGAGTGCCTTGCCCATAGCCAACCCTCAACAATGTTTATGACAATGATGGTTAAGGATGACTGTGTCTCATATTTCTCTGTTCTCAGTCCTTTTCTACCATTTTGTTCTCCATAGCCCCAGCTATTTCTGTGTTTCAAGCCTTCTAGAAACCTGCCTCATCTTGTTTGGAGTTTAATGAGGGCATTGGGTATGTATTCTGTAGCTGCCTTCCATAGTTATGATGATGGTAATAACTACAAATGATTAGAGATCTACCCTCAATCAGACATATACATTTTGAAAACTTTCTAAACTTGAGGAAGTATGTTCCTAATATGTTACCATTTATTGCAAAAAAGAAACATTCTCTGGTTAGAATGTTTCTAACCAGATAATGGAAATACTGGGTGAAACAAAATTAAATAGTTTAATGTTGATTTGTGTTTATAGGAATTTTCAGGATCTTTAGAACACTAATGTGAATCCTGAATTTCTAAGGGGGCAGGGTGATAAAATATGTAGAATTCCCCAAACATATTTGACCAAAAAATCATTTACTCATTGAACATCTTTCTAATGGGACTGTTTCAAATGATCAGATACCTTTCCCTAGGACTTGTTTCCTTCTGAGTAATGACTAAGACGGCACTTCTTCTCATTATTTATCATTTCAGGACAGATGCTGTTATTTCTCAGCCCAAATTTCTGTTATTTCTTATCCTGATTTTCTCTAATCATAAGCTGTTTAACTCTGACCTCATATGTGAGCTGCTCAGTTCCCATAATCATCTCAGCTGTCCTGTTCTAATCTACAGTTTTCAAGCTGCAGAATCAAAAAAAGTTAATGATAATTACAGTGATGACAACTAATATTTATTGAGTTTGTGCTGTGGACCAGACATTGAGCTAACACATGTTATAACATCCTACTTAATTGTCACCACAGCCCTATGACGCAGTTATTAATATTTTCATTTTATACATGAGGAACCTGAAGAGAGCTTATGTAACTTCCCCCAAGAAAGTGGCACGTGGAGGAATTGGAGCTGGGTTTTTAACCTGTGTTCAACTTTTACCTCATACCTGGCATTGCCCTTTCGGTGCTAGTTCTCTCTCTCTCTTTCTGTCTCTCTCTCTCTCTCTCTCTCCATATACATATATATGTTTTTTGAGATGGAGTCTCGCTCAGTTGCCCAGGCTGGGGTGCAGTGGCGTGATCTCAACTCACTGCAAGCTCTGCCTCCCGGGTTCACACCATTCTCCTGCCTCAGCCTCCTGAGTAGCTGGGACTACAGGCACCCGCCGCTATGCCCCGCTAATTTTAGTTTTGTATTTTTAGTAAAGATGGGGTTTCACCGTGTTAGCCAGGATGGTCTCCATCTCCTGACCTCGTGATCTGCCCGTCTTGCCCTCCCAAAGTGCTGGGATTACCGGCGTGAGTCACCGTGCCCAGCTATTTTTTTTTTTTTAATTAAATAAAAATCTGCTGCCTCTCCAAGCAGAATCCTTTTGAAAGCAAAGGGCCCGTGGTTCAGCCTTCAGTTCACTCTTTTGTGCTTGGCACAGCACTTGGCATTCTGTAGCAAATACTCCTTTGGAAAGAGAGATTAAGCAACTTGCCAAAACCATTCAGGTAGTAAATGATAGACTCACATTTTGAACACATACCCTGCTCATCACACCCTCTCATGGAGTTCTCATCAGCACCACGCTCAGTGCACCAGGTGAGTCCCCCTTCTTTTTTGAGGTCACCCCCACTCGGCTTCTGAACGTCCCAAACAGGGAATTTTGTCCACTCCTACCCCCACGTTCAGTCTGCCCTCTCCCTAACAGACAGCATCCTAAACCTGGTGAACTAAATTTACTGGTAAATGGCTAGTGGGCTAATGGCACTTTGGTGATTGTCCTTTGCTAATTTTATCGTTCTTAGGAAGTTGTTCTCAACCCCAGCACTTTCCATTTGGGAGCTTTTTCAGAGGCCGGAATCTCTCTATTTACAACCAAAACGCCAGGGTGGCAGCGAGAGGGCGCGGTCCAGTTGTGGTACGCCCCTGGCCACTCTGCGGCACCGTTACCCCTACGCCCGAGCCACCGGCGCGCCCCGTTGTAGCCACTGGAGACACCACACGGTCTTTTAGGAAAGCGGGCCATTAACCGGTGTTCAACAGAGAAACATGGCCACCTCCCCACGGGCGGCTGCTGATCTGCGGTGGAGACCTCGTCCCCCGCAGAGAGCGACCGAAATCCCCTTGGGCCGCTGGGTCTTGCATGGCTGGATGCCTGGATGCCGCCTGTCCAAGGCTTTAGCGACCGTGTCTCCCTTCATGACCTTGGCCTCTGTGACAGGCAGGCCCAGCAGCTGCCCCAACATCCCGGTCAGCTGGAGCCTGTTTTCCTGACATGGGTTTTCTCTAAACTTCATGTCAGATTGGAAGCGCACTGCTGAGAAGTCCCACGAGAGGGCCCGGACATCTCAGTACCCTGGCTCCAAGGTGGAGCGAAGCCTGGTTCCCCATGAGAAAGTGAGCTGGCTGGCCGAGTGACGAGAGTAACGCCCCGAGAGTACACTGCCAGCTCTGTCTTGGACGGGCCCATGTGGGCAGACCCTCAAGTAGGTGAAAGGAACTTCTCTCCTAAGTTTAACGAAAAGAATGGGCATGTGGAGAGAAGGAGCCAGCATGGCTTGTATGAGATTGAGAAAGGTAGACTTAGAACTCCTGCATGTGGGACAGGACTGGTTGGCCCAGGGCTTTTGGGGTGTTGAGGCCCCAATCATGCTGCAGATCCCATCTTAACCAGATGGAAAAGGGATAGCAAGGGAAACTAAATTACCCACCCTATTTCTGGGAAAAATATCCTGCAATTTGTAGCCATCAAAAGGAAGGACTGCGGAGAATAGGCAATCCCAGGGTGGGTGGTGGATCCAGGAGAGAAAATCAGTGCTACATTGGAGAGAGAATTTGGCTAGGAAGCCATGAAGTCTTTATAGAAATCTAGGGAAGAAATGCAGGAGTTGGAGAGACAATTGCACAAATTCTTCAGCCAGGAACATTTTGTGGTCTATAAAGGCTACGTGGACAATTCTCGGAACACAGATAACTCCTGGATAGAGACAGAGGCTGTAAACTACCATGATGAAACCAGTGAAATAATGGACCATCTTCCTCTGGAAGCTGGCAATGATGCCAAGAAAGTGAAATGGGTGGATATTAATGATAAATTTGAGCTTTATGCCAGCCACTCCCAATTTATTCAACTTGTATCTGAGAAACAAGGTGCCCACTGGAGTGAGGACATGTATCTTGATTGCCAGGGATAGTGGCTTGGAGTCTCGTGTGAGCCAAAGGCCTTCAGATGATCAAGAGTGGGTAAGAGGCAAACAGCACATAACTCCCACTAAATAGGACAGGGAAGGTCACCTCTTTGGTGATTAATTCCAAAACTGTGCTATATGAAGGCTTTGTATTAGGGAATAATATTAGACAAATATGGGGAAATGGGATCACAGAAGTTTTGGCTTTCCTGTTAGAAGAATATACTCACATGCTGTATATATTGTATACATGGTTTAAACTAACTTACACAACTACTGCTCTTTGGAGAATTGTAAGAAAAACAATGACATCTTCCTTAACAACCATAGCCTCTACTTTTCAGCCAGTTTGCATTTGTCAATTCTTCTTCCTCCTGATGTTTTAATGTGGCATAATCTAATGTATAATCTGACTTTTGAGTTAACATTTATTTTTTAAATTTAGCATTATGTGGTCTTGTTTTCCTTGCTTTTGAGTATGGGAGCTTTCTGGCTTTTTTTTTTTTTTTTTTTTTAAGAGCTTCAGTTTTATGGGAAAAGTTCAATCTCTATTTTGGTCCACAAGGATCAAGTGCTTATGAACCAGACCAAAAAAAAAAAAAAAAATGCAGTGACAAAATGAGCTTAGATCCAGCCCTCTGGTTATCAGAACTCTTTCTGTCTGAACAGAATAAACTAAGCTGAAGATAATGGTTTCTTCTCATTTCAGAAGAAGACCCTACAAGTGCAGATTCTTGTCATGCAGATGGCTTTATCGGGACATGTATGTAATCCAAGCCTAATGAAAATATAATAATTCACATCTACCTTTTCTCAATTAAAATAAAAACCCAATATGCAAACAGAGAAGATGCTTATAGTCAGCTTGCGAACACAGAGACAGCCTCTCTGACAAGAATGTGGGGATTCCAATAGCAACAAATAGGTCAGAAACCTGTTTTATTCTTTCATTTCTCATCACCTAAAACAAGCCAGTTAAATTTATTTGCAACATACGGAAAATTAACTCAAACCACTATAACGAGCCTTGTATGACTGAGGGAAAAATGAAGACAATTGCAGGAGTTGATAGCAGCGTAAGAGGATTGCTTCAATAATAATAGCTGACACATTCCGCTTACTATGTGCAAGCACCCTTTCACGTGCTTTATGTATGGTGACTTATTGATTCCTAAAGATCGCCCTATAAGGAAGGTACTCTTATGTTGCAGGTCAGACTCCCTGGGAAGCAGATTCCAAGAGGGAGATTAGATTACAAGATGTTTACTAGGGAGTGGTCTTGGGATCAACACCTGGGAAAAGAAGGAGAAGAAAGGAGGATTGAGCAAAGTGAGCAGCTGAGCTGGAATGCAGGCCCAATGGAAGCCTCAGCCAACTCCATCTAGAACTCTGGAGCTGGGAAGGCCCTTCTAGCTTCCCTGAATTGGAGTGATGGAGCCAGGCCTTTATACCCTGTATTGATCAGTCACTGGATATGGCTGTCCCTGGAAGGAGGCGTGACCTCGAGGGAGAGAATTTCTTCAACCAAGACAATCCCAAAAAGGACTGACAGCTAAGGGACATCTTCTGGTAATATTCCCAGCCACTGAGAACTGGAATCTGGGAGGAGGGTGTGTGGGGTGTATAGCAGGGTCTACCACATATTATTATCTCGGTTTATGGATGATATAACTGAGGCATAGAAAGGTTACAGAACTTGAACAAAGTTATACAACCAGTAAGTGGTAGAGAACTTGAACAAAGTTATACAACCAGTAAGTGGTAGAGATAAGAGTAGAGCATAGATCACTGGGCTCCACAGTCCACACCCTTGACCACAATACCATAGTCTTTCAATAATTACCCTCCTATTGTTCCTGTATATACTGTTCCTTTAAAGAAAAAGAAAGAGAAGTTGTCATACCATTATATCTCTTTCTACATGCACATTTGAGCAGAGTTCCCTTTTCTAAACTTGAAGGATAGTTGCATGATTTTATTTTTCTTTTGACAAATGTTGTATTTATGTGGGTGATGACAGTTGTAAAAAGTTCACCTATGGATGCTCATCATTGTTCACGCCCAGGAACAAATTTAATACATCACTTTTACTTGTGCATTCTACAAGTGCTACTTTTTGGGATGGAGCCTTTTGTCCTATATGTTAGTCTCCTCTCAATCACTTTTCCAGGTGAGATATACCGCTGTCTTTATTTAAATAATTTTAGCACCCAGTTTGCCTAACATTTTTGAATGTTCCCAAACCCTACTTCATTTTCTTCCCAAAATGGAAAGCTCCTAAAAAAATACATTTACATATATTCATTAATCATTGCAAAAACATTAAATAATGGTCTTTAAAAAGTCTCAAATTTAATATATCCAGAACAGAATTCTTGATTTTTCCACCAGAAAACTGTTCCTCTATCACTCTTTCCTGGTAAGTGGCACCAAAATCCACCCAAATTGGACAAGAAAACAAGGAATTATCCTAGATTCCTTGCTTTCCCTGTACCAGAGCATTCAGTCCATCTGTAAAATTTATTCAGCTCTACCTCCAACAAAATACATCCAGGGCCAGTTGCAACTCTGACACTTCACTGATCACCCTAGTCAAGCCACCAACTCTCCTTCTCTAGACTTGTGCAATGGCCTCCCAACAGACCTCACTTCTGCTGCCCTCCTCCTCTTGCAGGTCGTTTCCCACAAAAAATGAAATGACATTTAAAAAAATCCCAGTCACATCATGTCCCACTCTCTTAAAACCACCTGATCACTTCCTTTTGTACATAAAATGCAAACTCCTGACCCTAGCTACCTGTTCTGGACGATGCATACTGCTTCAGTCTTACTTGGAAAGCTAGTAACATTCCACTTTTGACTAGGCTGGCCTTTCTCTTCTTAACACACTTCATACTTGCTTCTGCCCCAGGGCCTCTGCTTTGCTTTTAACCTGCCCAAAATGTCCTTTCCATACAGAGTCAGTTCCTTAGGTCACTCAGGTCTCATTCAACTAACAGCCCCTCAAAGAGAGATGTCCTGACCACTTCAGCTAGTGACCCATACAGTCTGTTCCTACTGCCTTACCCTGATTTACTTTCTACACAGTATTTAACACTAGCTCAAATGATCTTGCATATATTCTGTTTACCTTATGAAGAAGAGAACCTTGCATAAGAGCAGGGATTTTTCTGTCTCATTGATTGCTGTAGCCCTAGTACCAAAATAATGTCTGGCATGTCAACAAATTATTTGTGGAAAATAGCTACTGTTAACATTTTTCTATATACTCTTTCCCCCTTTCTAAAAAATTATAAATGTGGCCCAACTTTTAAAAAAATTTAGATTTCCAAAAACTTTGCTGAACAGTGCATATGATTCTTGTATAACCCTGAGCCCAGCTTCCCCAAGTGTTGACAACTTATTTATTCATAGTAGTGTTATTGAAACCAGAAAATGAACACTGATTTAATACTTTTTTACTATTAATTAGCCTATAGATCTTATTCAAAATTTTCCAATTATTCCACTAATGTCCCTTTTCTATTCCAAAATCCAATGATTCCACATTTCATTTAATTGTATCTCTTTTATTTTCTCTAATTTTGGAAAGTTCCTCAATCTTTTTTGTCTTTCAGGAACTTGACAGTTTTGAGAGTACTGGTCAGTTTTTTAACAGACTGTCTCACTATTGACATTTTCTCATGAATAAAATAAAGTTATATATTTTTCACAGATGTGATTTGCTTGGGTAAAGTTGTATATTTAAAAAATTGGCCAGGTGCGGTGGCTAATGCCTGTAATCCCAGCACTTTGGGAGGCCGAGGCAGGCGGATCACAAGGTCAGGAGATTGAGACCATCCTGGCCAACATGGTGAAGCCTTGTCTTTACTAAAAATAAAAAAAAAAAAAAAAAAAAATTACCTGAGTGTTCTGGTGTGCACTTGTAGTCCCAGCTACTCGGGAGGCTGAGGCAGGAGAATAGCTTGAACCTAGGAGGTGGAGACTGCAGTAAGCCTAGATTGCACCACTGCACTCCAGCCTGGTGACAGAGCAAGACTCTGTCTGAAAAAAAAAAAAAATTAAGGTGAATTTTTTTTTTAGTGTAATCACTACTAGACAGTAAATAGAATATGCTATATATTTTTAAATGTCACAGTGGAATTTCCAATCACCTTGTATTACTTTTGACTCACATTTTTATATTTTTATGCATGCACACAATATTTAACTTTCTAAGTTCCTTCTCTGTAAGGGACTTGAGGTCTAGGAAGTGCTAAATTTCATTACCTTTCCTCTCTATTCTCTTCCTTCAAGTTCCTGAGATGGCAATGAATGCTGTGTTATCCTGCTGTATCAGTTACCTATTTTCACACAAATACTTCAATCCCAAAACACACAGGCTTGAAACAACAAACATGTAATTAGTCTGTAAGTTTAAAATTTGAGAATTAGGGTTTGACTGGGTGGTTTTTCTGGTCACCGCTGGGCTCATTCACATGCTTGGGAACTGGGTGGCTATTGACTGATCTAGGATGACCTTAGATGGGATGATTGAAGAGAAGCTTCTCTGTGTCACGTCTCTCATTCTCTATCAGACTAATCCAGGAATATTGTCATGGCAATGGCAGAGGAGCAAAGGCCAAATGGAAACATGCAAGAGTTCTTAAGTCCCAGGCTTGGAAGTGACATCAAGTCATTTCCCTGCACTCTATTGGACAAAGTGACAACATCAACTTAGATTCAGTGAATAGGGAAATGACTCCATGTTATAGTTTGTATATCTGTGTCTCCACCACATCTCGTGTTGAAATGTAATCCCTAGTGATGAAGGTGGGGAGGTGTTCCGATCATGGGGGTGTATCCCTCATGAATGGCTTAGTGCCATCTCCCTGGTGATAAGTGAGTTCTCATGAGATCTGATTGTTTAAAAGTATGTGGCACCTCCCCCAACTCTCTCTCTTTCTCTCTCTCTCTGGCCATGTGACATGCCTGCTCCCGCTTCACCTTCTGCCATGAGTAAAATCTCCCTGAGGCCTCCCTGGAAGCCAAGCAAATGTCAGCAACATGCTTGCACAGCCTGCAGAACCGTGAGCCAATTGAACCTCTTTTCTTATAAATTACTCAGTCTCAGGTATTTGTTTATGCAATGCAAGAATAGCCCAACCCACCCCACATCTTTAGAGAGAGAAAGTAGAGAGTCACATGGCAAGGGGCGTGGATACAGAGGGAGTGAAGAATTGGGGCCATTTGCACAGCCAATAACCCCACATCCATTGTGCCTTTTTTTTTTTTTTTCCTAACAGCTTTGAGATATAATTCACAACTATACAATTCCCCCAATTAAATTTTTCAGTTCAGGCCAGGCCTGGTAGCTTATGCCTGTAATCCCAGCACTTTGGGAGGCTGAGAAGAGAGGATCACTTGAGGAGTTCAAGACCAGCTTGGGCAACATAGCAAAATCCTGTCTCTACAAAACAACAACAACAACAACAAAAACATTAACCAAGCATGGTGGCACACACCTGTAGTCCAGCTACTAGGGAGGCTGAGTTGGGATGGTCACTTGAGCCCAGGAGTTTGAGGCTGCAGTGAACTATGACATGCTACTGTACTCCAACCTGGGT